TACTTCTAAGTGTTCTCAGATCTGTTGCTTGATTATCTTTTACAGGATCTACCCAGGTATTGATGTCAGGCTATTGCTCTATAATTCCCTGGATCTATTTTCCCCCTTTTTTTGAAGATGGGAACCACATCAGCTCTTTTCCAGTCCTCTGGTATTTCCCTGGTGCTCCAGGATCTTTGAAAGATATGGTTCAGTGGTTCTGAGATCATGTCTGCTAGCTCCTTCAGAACTCTGGGATGTAATCCATCATGACTTGAGCTCTTCTAGACTGGACAGATGTTCTCTTACAATTTTTTTGTTTATTCTAATTTGTATTCCTAGTCTGTTTTTTTTACAGTTCTGTTTCTGATAGTTTGGGCTATTTTTTCTTTTTTGCGTGAAGACAGATGCAAAGAAGGAATTAAGCAGCTCTGTTTTCTCTCTACTGCCTGTCACTTCCTTGCCATCATCTCCCACTAGTTGACCGGTTGTTTTCTTGACTTTTTTTCTTGTTTTTTATACATTGAAAGAAACTTTTAAAATTATTTTTGATATTTGTTGCAAGTCTTAATTCATTCTGAGCTCCATTTTATCATTCTAAATTCTTAATTCATTCTAAATTCATTCATAAAATGGAATTTTATCCATGGAATTCTTCCTAAGATCTTTCTAAGTCTATAGAAATCAGCTGTGTCAAAGTTTAAGACATGGTTTGATTATGTTCTATTGCTTGTGTCTGCATTATACTGAATTCCAGTATGACATGGTTACTCTCCCCCAAAATTTCTGCAATTTCAACCCTCTCTATCATTTCTTCTCTGTTAGTAAAAATGAGGACCATATAGCTGTCCCTCTAATTTCCCCCCACCTACCTTTTGGATGAGTTGTCAGCTAGGTTAGTCAGGAACCTACCTGATCTCTCACTTGATGCAAAGTTTGTCTCCCAGTTGATATCAGGATAGTTAAAGTCCTCCATTACTACTGTATGTGTACAGTGTGATGTATTTCCTACATACATTGTTAACTGACAACAAAAAGTTCATCTATTTTTTCTGCTTGGTTGGGTGCCCCTATGTGGCCTATTTAGCTCCTATATATCTATAGCACTATCATTCTTTTTTCCTTTTATATTATGCATTCTAGGAGGCTTTCATTCTTTTTTTTATGCATTTCTGTAGAGATGTAGTGATCTTTTACATACAGTATAACTCTACCTCCTCTTTTCTTAGGCCTGTTCTTTTGAACAGTTTATATCCTTCCATCACTACTGTACATTCCAGTCATGAGTTTCATGCCATCAAATTTCAGTAATGGCAACTACTGTATATCATACCTGCCCTCATGTACTGGTTAACCTAAAACTTCTAAAAGATCATTTTAAAATGTCAAAAAAAATTGGGTTTTTCAATTTTTCAAATTCTGGAAGTTATTCTAAAAATTAAAATATTTTAACATTCTCAAATTTCCCCCCAAATTTAGAAGAATTAGGTTGCCTCTAGGTATAGTTTGTAATCTACAGATATATAAAAATGATAGATGAATTGATCTGAATTGATATTAAGGATAGAAAAGGAGAAAAAGAAAAGAAAAAAAAGCAGTTTATATTGAAAAGTTGAAAGCATACAGTTGTTATGATACAAAGGAAGAGATAAATGGCGAGTTGGTATGGTTTGTCTCCTCTCTCTTCAGCTTATCAGAGCTTCAAAGGGAAGGCATGCTTTCTCCCCACAAAAAAATGCTGAACAGGAACCTGGGATTAGCAGCAGAAGGATCACACTTGTTTTTGCAGGAAATCTCAGAATGTTTTTAGGGCCTTCTCCCTGCCTGGAAAATTTATCCTTTTCCTCCCTGCCTTGAAGTGTTTTATACTTATCCCTTTGCTCCCTGTCTTCTTGCCCACTGGTTGTTTCAGGAACAATGTGCTGCTCTGTGCGCTTTGCTTCACTGCTGTTTAGCTCTGTGTCTCAGCTGCTCTTCTACTCCCAGCTACTGGTCCACTGCTGCCACTGCAGCTCAGCTGTTCCCAGCCACTGCTCCTGGTCTGCTGCCACCCAGCTCCATTCTGCCCCCACTCAGGTTGTCCGCAGGGCCACATCGCCTCTCAGTTGGATCGGGCCATCTCTCAGCTGGGTCATTGGGTGCTTCTTAGCTGGGCCTCCGGGCTGGTGGGCAGCCAGACTCTTCTCAGCCTATTATGTGGGTCTTTAGAGAGTATGTAGTCTTTCAGTCTTGTAGAATAATGTAACTTTTCAATAAAGATGGTGCTGGTAGTGCTTCTTATCTGGACCAATTTGAAGGACTAACATCAGTGTTCTGTCATTGCTATATGTTGTCCTGTGTGCAGCTTGACATGCAGCTAAACCACTGTATCCTACAATAAAAGAAACCATATGTGTAGATCTGGATATTTTATTAAAGGAACAGGATGGATGAAACTGGGAAAATTAGAAATATATACAATAAGAACTCAAATACAAAATAAGCAGTGTTGAGTTGCTGTTGAGCATAACAATTAACAAATACAGATAAATCTAAATCTCACCAGAAATGCTGTGTGTATGGGATGTGGATTTTTATACTCAGATAACATGTGCCGTGGATTAGGCTGGATTCTTCCGTGCTTCTGTTTCCTCAGAAGGCTAAAGAGAATGGAGTCTGGCTTCCAAGGATGCACTTCTTTTTGGAATGAGGCATGCCAAGAAGATAACCCTTAAAGGGCCGGGTCCAAGGGTGGGCTGCTGGGGATTTGCAGGGGTTTGGGAGAGCCTCTAGCTAAGATTCTGTGCAGTTCAGAGAACCCTGAAATCCCACTCCTGGCTGCCCCCCCTCCCAGGAGTCCTCACACAGCCCGTTTTGTATGCAGGTAAGTGCAGGGTTAGGGTTAGGTGGAGGCATGGGGAGGGCGAAAAATGGGCCTACCGGAAGTTCGGGAAGAATGTGTTAGGATATTAAATTTAGTAGCTGGAACAGTAAAGTGTACAGTGTCCAGAGCACACAGTTGATTGGTTGGAGAGCTCATGCATGATGCAATCTACATTATGATTGGTTGCTGTGGGTATAAAGGGGAAGTTTCCCTCCCTCCATTTCTTTCTTCTGTGTGTTTGTATGCTTTTTGATTTACCTCATGATGTTCTTGTTTTCTTGACTATCTTGTCTGCTGTAAATATAAATGTTAAATATATTTATTTATATAAAACTACAAGTTTCTGTCAGTGTCTCCTACTTCATCTGGACAGCTTGCTGCCCAATTCCTTGACAGAATTGGACATATACTGCCCCCAATGGTCAATTTATTTGCAAAAGTTTTTTTTTTTTTAATGATGTCTTCTGAGGCTCCATTCTATCTCCAGTACATGGAGTTTTGGGGGTGGGGTGTTGGGTAGATATTTTCGGGAGATTTGAAACTGGGGGTCATCACTATGCTGATGACTCCCAAATCTATTTCTTTATAATATCTCCAGGTAATAATGTTTTCTCCTGCTTGCAGAGGATAACATGTTGGATGAGGGATAATAAATTGAGGCTGAATCCAGACAAACCTGAAGTGCTCATTGTGAGTAATGACAGTTCCAGAAAGTGGTAGATCTGCCACTAGATGTAGCAGTAGATCTATGCAGTTTCTGGGTGCTTCTGAAACCAGACGTTTGCATGGCTTCATAAGTTGAAGTGAGAGTCAGGAGCACCTTCTAGCAATATGATCAATGAACCAATTGCAACCTTTCTATGAAGAAAATCACCTAAATCCTTGCATGCAAATCCTTGTCTCAGTTTGATTTCATAATGCATTTCATACAGCTATCTTTGTGTTTGCACTAGAAACATCTTTAGGAACCTCTATTAAAATACAGCAGTCAAGCTGATCTCTTGACAAGACCTGGTGGCCTCGAGGTGGAGCTCTTGTATCACAATCAGGAGACCGTGAGTTTGATCCTAGGTAGAGACAGATGTAGAGTTTCCTGCTTGGGCAGGGGGTTGGACTTGATGACTTGCAAGGTCCCTTCCAACTCTGTTAATCTGTTAATCTTGGCAGAATTTGGAGAGATCAAATTATCCTTTACTGAAGATTTCACACACACTTTTGTTTCTAGAAAGTTCAAAGCACTGGTTGTTATTTTTAAAGCTTTGGGCAGAGTTTGGATCTGATTTATGTCATCCCCTGCACTTTGACATCATTGGATAGCTCTGCCAACAGTTTCTGCAGGTCTGTCTCATGCCAGGTTGGGATTAAACCTTCTCTGTAGCTGCTCCAGTTTTTCCTAAAGTCCCCCCAGCACAGTTCAGGGTTCTAATCATTTATTTGCTTTCAAAAAGTCTTGAAAACATCTTTCTTTGGATAGCTTTTTGTTATTGTTATGATTTATCTTGGCTTTATTTTTTGGTCTATGATATTATTTCCCCAGTGTATAGTGCCAAGAGAACTAAGTAATCAGGTAAAGTTAATTTAAAAAGAGAATACAAGAATAATGCTGCCACTGTCTTCTGGGATGATTACAAGAACTGGATTTTGTGGATATACTGTACCATTAATTGATATGGATGGCAATAGAAAAAAAAGATGGTGCCCAATTTTCTCTCCACTCTCCATTCCAAAGGTGATATGCATTGGGTGTCTGAAAACTGTAGTAAACAAAATCAAGTTTGTTGTCCACAGCAGAGCAATCAAAGGACCTACATAAAAACTAGACATCCTCACTTTTTGGACCATACCATGTGAACATCCCTGACACACATGCATTCATTGACTTTCAGATCATTTTTGGGTTTTCATTTTAGGTAGCCCTGCCCCAGATCCTGAGAAAAGAGCTTGATCAGAAGTTAGGATAGGCATACTTTAGAAAACTCTGGTATAAAACAAGAAATTCAATCATAGCAAGCCTTTTGTTTTCTAACCAGTAATACAATGTGTTAGATCGGCGCAGGGAAAGCAAGACGCGACCAGCTCGGGTCCAGTTCAGTACTTTATTCAAGCACAGGAAAAAGACAAGCGGCTGGGCTGCCGGGGCTCCTTTTATACGCTCCGGCAGACTCAGCCGCCCACTGACAGTTATTTGAATCTCCCGCCGGAAGATTAGCCAATCCCCGGCGGGTGCCCATATAAGGACATAACACTCCTCCCCCCTTAGTCTGAAAAATGTCCATCACAATTAATGTACGTTACGAAGTCACGCAGGTAGGCGGGGCGCCTGCTTGCCCGAGATGACCTGCGCAGTTCAGTCTGAGCTTCGCCGCCGGCCTGTGCGGGCGAAGCTCCTGTCCTTCCCGGCTCCCCGGTGGGGGTGGCCGGGGCTCCGGCCGTCGAGTGTGCGGGATCCGTCCCAGCACCTCCGGCCGCAACATCTGGAAGTTCGCGCTGGAGTCGCTGGTCCTTCCCTCGCCTGGAGAATCTGGAACCTCGCGGCGGGACAACGCTGCTGTCCGGTGGGTGCCGTCCGAAACCCGGTAAGTCCGTGGGTGTCTCGTTGGGCTCCCGTCGCTGTCGCTGTCCCGTGTGGTCGACCTCGCCGGGGTGGTGTTCATCCCCGCGGCTGGGTTGGAGCTGGCTGGCTTCGCAGGGTTGGTGCTGGCCGACCTCGCTGGGGTGGTGCTGTTCGACCTGGCCTGGGTGGTGTGCGCCTTCCTTGCTGGAGTGGTGCTGGTCGACCTTGCAGGGTTGGTGTTGGTCGACCCGGTCTGGATGCTGGTTGGGGTCTCCCTTGCCGGTCGGTCGCTGGCCGGCTTGGGTTGCCTGTTGTGCGCCTCCCCCGTGTGGTTGTCCCCGGTCTACTTGTCTGGAGCGTTGGTCTCCCTGGCAGGGCCGTTGTTGGCCCTCGTCGCTGGAGGGGTGCGATCCCCCCTCCCTGGGTGGGTCCCGGTCTACCCCTTGACTGTTGTGGCGGTCCCTCTCCATGGAGTGGCGGATGCCCACCTTGCCGGGTTGGGGGTGCCATCCCTCTTGTGACAGGTCCCGGTCTACCGCTCTGGATCGTCGCTGAGGGATTTCATGGGAATGTGCTTGGCCGGCCTCGTCGGGGGGTCGGTGGCCTGCCTCGCCTGGGTGTTGTAGGCCTGCCTCGTCGGGGTGTGGTAGGCCTACCTCGCCGGAGTGCTGCAGGTCTGCTCTGCCGGGGTGTTGCAGGCCTACCTCGTCGGGGTGTTGTAGGCCTACCTCGTCGGGGTGTGGTAGGCCTACCCCGTCGGGCTGGTTTCCTTCCGATCCCCTCCACCTTTTCCGAAGCTGGTCGATGTGCCGTCTACAGACCTGTCCATCTTCCAGCTCGACTCGGTAGGACTTCGGGCCGGTTGTGCTTTCTATTCTCCCCTTTAGCCACTTCGGAGAGCCGTTGAAGTTAAGCGCAAACACCGGGTCTCCTATGGTGAAGGCGCGGAGCGGCCGGCTGGCCGTTGCTGTCACTTCGGGGTTATACTGGGGGTGCAGCCGGTCCAGGGGTGACCTCAGGCGTCTGCCCATCAGTAGCTCAGCTGGGCTCTTCTTGGTGGTGGCATGTGGGGTGATGTGTTGTGTAAGGAGGAAGTTGTCAATCCTCTCTTGCCAGTCGCCCGGACCCATCTTGGTGAGCGTCTCCTTGGTGAGTCTCACCATGCGTTCCGCTTGACCGTTTCCGGCTGGCCTGTAAAATGCGGTGAGGGCGTGGCGGATGCCCAGTCCCGCCAGGAACTCTTCCATGGCCTTGGATGTTAACTGTGGGCCATTGTCAGAGACTAGGACATCCGGCAGCCCGTGTGTTGCGAATAGGCGCCTGAGTGCCCTGATGGTGGCTTCGGAAGTGGTAGATGCCATGGGGATGACCTCTAGCCACTTGGAGAAAGCGTCCACAACGATTAAGAGGTAGTGCCCCTGCATTGGACCCGCGAAGTCAATATGGATCCGTGCCCATGGGCTGCTGGGCATCTCCCACTCTGACACTGGGGTTTGGGCTGGGGCGGGGCGTACCTCTTGGCACGGGTCACATCTGGCGACCCACTCTTCAATGTCCTTGTCCAGGGATGGCCACCAGACGTAACTCCGTGCCAGTCCTTTCATCCTTACGATGCCCGGGTGTCCGTTGTGGAGCGTCTCGAGCGTTTTCTTCTGTAAGGCGCTGGGAATCAGCACCCGGTCTCCCCATAGGATACAGCCTTTCATGGTGGACAGCTCCTGTTGCTTCCGTGCGAAAGGGCTGAACTTTTCTGCCGGTTTTTCTGCTGGCCAGCCTCGCAGGACCCAGGATCTCACTTGCTTGAGTATGGGGTCCCTCTGTGTATGGGTGGCCACATCTGCTGACGTCACTGGGCAGTCTCTGTCGGCGTCGATGTGGAGGAGGCTTATGGTGGGTGCGGGGTCTTCTACTGGCTCTTTGGATGGGCACCTACTCAGGGCATCTGCGTTCCCGATGGTTTTGCCGGGCTTGTGAATGAGTCTGTAAGCATACCCGGCGAGGAAGATGGCCCAGCGTGTCATCCTGGGCGACATGTAGCCAGGTGTGGGTTTGTCACCCGCTAATAGTCCCAAGAGTGGCTTATGGTCAGTGATGACCGTGAAGTTCCGGCCATATAGGTACTCATGGAAGCGCTTGACTCCAGCCACAATGGCCAAGGCTTCCTTGTCCAGCTGGCTGTAATTCCTCTCGGTGCTGGACATCGTTTTAGAGAAGTAGGCGATGGGTGCCTCTGATCCGTTGGGGAGCTGGTGGCTGAGGACTGCGCCAATCCCATATGGAGAAGCGTCGCAGGTCAGTAGCAGCGGAAGCGTCTCGTGGTACTGGATCAGCACGCTGTCGGAGGATAGGAGCCCCTTGATGGTCTTGAAGGCGTTTTCTTCCTCTGTCCCCCATCTCCACGGAACCGCTTTCCCCAGCAATCGATGGAGTGGCTCAGCGGCTGTTGCCTTCTGTTTAAGGAACACCGCATAAAAATTTAGCAATCCCAAAAATGCTTGAAGCTCGGCTTTGTTTTTGGGGGCTGGAGCTTCGTGGATTGCCCTGACTTTAGCTTTGGTGGGGTGGATGCCGGTGCCATCTATGAGATAGCCCAGGAACTCGACCTCCTGGACCCCAATGATGCATTTGTCCCTCCTCACTCTTAAACCCTTCTCCTTGAAGCGCCGCAAGACTTGTTTAAGTCGCTCAAGCAGCTGGGTTTTAGAGTGTCCGGAGATCAACACATCATCAAAGTATGGCACCACCCCTGGAATGCCTTGGAGAAGGCGTTCCATCATTGATTGAAAAATGCCTGGGGCTGCGCTGACTCCAAATTGGAGGCGGTTGCACTTAAATGCGCCCCTATGGGTGACAATCGTTTGTGCCTCCGCAGTTTTTTCATCCACTGGCAATTGCTGGTAAGCCTGGGCCAGGTCCAGTTTTGCAAATATTGTCCCACTCCCAAGTGAATGCAGCAGATGTTGCACCACTGGAACTGGGTATGCGCTCTGCGAAAGGGCCTTATTGATCGAACATTTGTAGTCGGCGCAGATGCGCACAGATCCATCATGCTTCATGGGAGTCACAATGGGCGTCTCCCATGCCGCATGATCGATTGGTTCCAACACGCCCTGGGCTATCAGCTTATCTAGCTGAGCATCTACTTTGGGCCTCAGGGCAAACGGAACTCTGCGGGGCTTAAGCCTAATGGGTGTAATTGTCTTATCAAGATTAAAGGAAATGGGCTTCCCCACAAATTTCCCCAGCTTACCGTCGAAGACTTCCTTGAATTCTTCGAGGAGGGTGTCGAGTTCGTCCTGACGAATTTGGTTAACCCCTACTATCCCGAGCCCTAGTGGCTTGAACCACTCCATGCCTAGCAGGGTTGGGCGGTCGTGCTCGACGATGGTGATGGGGAGGTTGCCTTGGAATTCTTGGTAAGACACGTGGAGCAAGGCTCTTCCCAGGACTCCGATGTGGTTTCCTCCGAAATCCACCAGCCTGGAGCGCAGGGGTCTCAGGTCCTTCTTGCGGACGTCTGGCTTGATGCGTTTTAAGTTTTTCCAGTCCATGATTGAGTAGACGGAGCCAGAGTCTACTTCCATGGAGCATGGGGTCCCCTCAAGCAGCACGGTCGCGTGGCACTTAGTGGCGGTGTCGTCGTCATCGGGGAGATGTATTGTGGTTTGGTGTACTGCTCTCCTCCGGTTCCCGTCACTCTCACCGCGTCTGGATTGGTAGGAGGACCGTCTGGATGCCCTCGCGTTGTCCTCCCGGTTTTCGCGAGGGCGGTGGCTGGAGGGTTCTGGGGCTGGTTCCTCAGCTCTGCATGCCTCTGCAATGTGCCCTCTCCTGTTGCAACGCCGGCAGGTTGCATCTCTCCATTTGCAGCTGGCTCTGGGGTGGTCCCCTCTGCAGCTGGCGCAGCGCTCCCCCTTGTAACTTTTTTGGGCGGTTTCCCGCCTTGGGGGTCTGGATACCTTGTGTACGGTGGATTCCTCCTCCGACTCTGATCCAGCTGCGGAATCCTCAGTTGAAGATTGCGTTGTGGAGCGAATCTTGTGGATTCCCTTTGCTCTGCTTACTGCGGCAGCCGCTTTCTCCGAGATTTCGGATGCGGTGGCTTCCTCCACCACATCTTTGAGCACGAGTTTCTTCCTGCTCAGAAATTTCTTTTGCAGGCCTCTGTCCCTCATGCCGAAAACCACGCGGTCCGCGATGGCGTTATCCACATGGTCAAACTCACAGCTGGCTGCGATTTGGCGCAGGGCGGCCACAAATTCTTTGATGGTCTCACCTTCCTTTTGATCCCTTTGATGGAAGGTGAAACGGTTTGCCACTGGAGTGCCAGTTGGGGCATAGTGTTCTTCCAGGATCTGCAGCAGGTCCGTCCATGGCACTTCTTCGATGTCTCGTGGTGCTACGAGATCGATTGCCATGTCTAGGACTTCGGATCCGCAGTTGGCCAAGAAGATGCCCTTTTTCCGATCATCATCGGCATCCCTGATGTTGTTTCCTCTCAGGTACTGCCGAAATTTTACCACGTAGGATTTCCACTTGTCCTTCCCTGGGCGGAATGGAGCAAGGGCTGGCAAGGTGACTTCAGCTGATGCCATGCCTCTGGAAATCCCTACGAAGTGACTCGGTTCTCAGTGACTTAGCTCTATGAGGTTGGCTTGTGCCACGAGGTTCGTCGCTTGGTTCTGTTCCTTCGTCGCCAGTGTTAGATCGGCGCAGGGAAAGCAGACGCGACCAGCTCGGGTCCAGTTCAGTACTTTATTCGAGCACAGGAAAAAGACAAGCGGCTGGGCTGCCGGAGCTCCTTTTATACGCTCCGGCAGACTCAGCCGCCCACTGACAGTTATTTGAATCTCCCGCCGGAAGATTAGCCAATCCCCGGCGGGTGCCCATATAAGGACATAACAAAGAATGATTAAGCAAGCATGTGGGATCAAGGTAGACCTCTCCTGCAAGTTTCATAATTTGTCTGCCTTTTAAGATCAGAGTAATTTGGGATCTATCTACAAGAAAAATGGCTTTCTTCCATACCAGTTGTTTGCTTTCTATTATTAGGAAGGTTTCTTTGAGATGAAAGCATGGTTGATGATAACCAATAAGACCTTCCTTGGTGATTCCACCAACACTATGGAATTCTCCGTCCTCTGAAGAATAGATAGTCCCCCTCCAAATATTTTTCACAAACTGGTAAGGATATTTCTATTCTGGCAGGCTTTTGCCTAACAAGTTTAAAAGCTGTTTATCTATTAGCTCCTGTCTGTATATTTATTGCCTTGATGTCTTTATAGTACTAATTGTATTCCTTTGTGGCTTTAAATGGTTGCGAGACACATTCTGTGCACATTCTGAGCACATTGCCATTAGAAAGGCTGGGTATATATTCTTTTGGTAGGAAAACAAATAACCAATATGTTTGGGTGAAGTTTATGAAGAAACAACCTGTTCCTATGACTTCAATATTATAAATGCCATTTTTATCAGGAATAGAGATAATTAATAGAAGCAAAATTACACTAGTATCTTGAATTGACATTAGTGCTGGAAAATTATTGAAAAATTTAGCTTCATTTTAGGACTATGTGAGTTTGACATAATTGTACACCGGAGAACACACCAAATCAGGGATCCATCACTGTTAGTTATTTAATAGAAGAAGTTCCATCTGTCTAAGATAACTAGAATAAAAATCTGTTCTGAAAAGTGTAGCTATGTTCTGGAATCATTTGTGCACATCTTAGAAATGTTGACCACTTATCTTGACTATATGACAACTGAAATATAAAAGAAATGACATGAATGGACAGCATGAAAGTATGATATAGAGTGTTCTGTAAGGGATTGATCCAAAAATAAATACAGACCAATAGTGATTCTTTGAAGCATTGAAACGACAATTGAATAGAATTACAGACGCTTTTAGAAAATATTGAGATGGTCTCTATTTCTTCAGAAGTTTAACATGTATTTTTTTCTAATAAATATTTTTCACATAACTATAGCATTTTAAAGTTTTTAAATGATCCAAGCCTAGACTCTCTTATGTATAACTGCCCATATAAGAAAACAGATTTTTGTAGATATGATAAAATCAAATACAATTTAAGGTTGCTTTTTCATATGATTGATTGCCATTTCAAATATATTCTCATATGTTATCATTGGTCTTTTTTAAAAAAAATTTTTTGAAAAGAAATGAAATTTCTGGAAAAGTAATCAAATCCAATATTGAAAGTATAATTATCTGAGATGCTATTCTGTTCTCCTTCTCCTCCTCTCTTCCTCCCTCTCTTACCGTCACTCCTACTCTAATTTCCCTTCCCGTCCTTCATCCCTCTCTATTACTGTATCCTTTTATGCATATGGACTACTCAGAGGGCTGAAAAAGTTATTTTTGACTGGTCCTCACACTTTTGACCAGTCCTCGAACTTACGACTGTCCTCACATTTTACGTTTTTGCCCTATCTTGTCACCATGGTGAAGAGAAGCAGTTGTGAAATGAGTGACATGGTTGTTAAGAATGCTGCACGGGCATAAATGTGAGGATGGTCATAAGTGTGAGGACCAGTCAAAAGTGTGAGGACCTGTCAGAAATGACTTTTCAGCCCTCTGAATAGTCTCTATACACATAGCCATGGCCACCCGGTCACATGACCAGCTAGCCACGCCCACCCAGTCACATGGCCTCCAAGCCATGCCCACAAAATAAGCCACGCCCACAATGGTGTCCTTCTTACCAATGTTAAAATCTGTTCACCTTACCCTATACACATAGCCATGGCCACCCAGTCACATGACCAGCTAGCCACGCCCACCCAGTCACATGACCAGCTAGCCACACCCACAAAATAAGCCACGCCCACAATGTCCCTCTTTACCAATGTTAAAATCTGGTCACCTTATCTTTGGCTCTTCTTACGAACCTTTCAGCCAGCCCATTACTGGCCAGATGGAAAGGTGCAGAAAGGGCATGCCTGATCCCCAGCTCCGCCAGGTACCCCTTGGGTGTCCGTAAACTGGGATCTGTTGTCAGATACAATGGTGTCGGGTAACCCGTATGTGGCAAAGAGTTTTTTAAGTACCTTGATGACCGCTTCGGAGTTAGTGGACTGCATTAAAATGACTTTGAGCCATTTGGAATATGCATCTACGATGACCAGGAACTTTTGGCCATGGAAAGGGCCAGTGAAGTCAATGTGGATTCTAGACCAGGGGCCCTGGGGTCATTCCCACTCCCTCACCAGTGCTGTAGGGGGGGTCTGGTCTGGACTCTTGGCAGGGCCGACACTTCCCCACCCACTCAGTAATGTTGTTGTCCATTTTGGGCCACCAGACGTAGCTCCTAGCTAGCCCTTTCATTCTTATGATTTCGGGGTGCCCCATGTGCAACATGCTTAAAACCTTTTTCCTTAGACCTAAAGGTACAATGACACGGTCGCCCCACAAGAGACAACCCCCTTGCATAGACAGTTCCGTTCGTTTGTTTACAAAAGATTTAAATTCCCCACCTTCCGTCTTTTCCGGCCACCCCCTTGCAACCCAGCTCATTACAGTTTTTAGTACATTGTCTTTAGCAAGGCTCTCACCACTTCAGCAGAAGTGAGGGCCCCCGAGTTCAGAACATCAATTAATAAAACTGGTCTTCCCGGGGTTGGATCTTCCAGGATGTCTGTTAGTGGGCACCGGCTGAGGGCATCTGCATGCCCCAGAGTCTTGCTGGGTCGGTGTACAAGGCAGTAAGAGTATGCCGCTAGTAGAATGGCCCATCTAATAATTGTGGCTGCCCAAAAGCAGCCGATGGTCCATAACTAGTTCAAAAGTTCACCCAAACAAGTATTCATGAAACTTCTACACTCCCAAGATGGCTGCCAGGGCCTCCCTATCCAGCTGGCTGTAGTTCCGCTCAGTGCTGGACAGGGCACAGGAATAGTAAGCAATGGGCGCCTCTAGTCTGTAGCTCAATATGGCCCCGACGCCAAAAGGGAACGCGTCACAGACCAATACAAGGGGAAGTGTTGCGTTGTATTGGATTAAGAGGCTGTCTGCAGACAAAAGTCTCTTCACCGCAACAAAAGCGGCAGCCTCACCCTTACCGCAAACCCAGAGTGAATTCTTAGCCAGTAACTGGTGGAGGGGTTCTGCTACTGTTGCCTTGTCCCGCAGAAAGATTGAATAGAAATTCAGGAGACCCAGGAAAGCTTGCAGTTCTGCTTTCTTTTTGGGGGTTGGCGCGTTTCTAATGGCCCTAATCGTGCTTTCAGTAGGGTGAATGTCAGTTCTGTCTATCTTATACCCCAGGAATTCAACAGACAGTACTGCTATCATGCATTTGTTTCTTTTGACCCGGAGGCCAGCACTCCTGAATTTTTCTAGTACTTGTCTTAGGCGGTCCCCTAGTTATCTGCTGCAGTAATGAGGACATCATCAAAGTAGGGGACTACCCCGGAAGTCCTTGCAACAGATGCTCCATTGTGCTCTGGAATAGGCCGGGGGCTACGCTGACTCAGAATTGCAATATAGTGCATTTAAAGGCACTTCTGTGAGTTACGATAGTCTGTGCCTCAGCAGTAGCACCATCTACCGCCTGTGCAAGATCGAGTTTTGCAAAAATCTTGCCAGGCCCCAGAGAATGGAGTAGTTGGTGTACAATTGGAACTGGATAGGCGCTCTGTTGGAATGCCTTGTTAATTGTACAATTGTAGTCACCGCAGATGTGCACTAATCCATCTGGCTTGATAGGTGTCACGATTGGGGTTTCCCATTTAGCGTGATCTACAGGAACTAAGGCCCCTTGTTTGATGAGTTTATCCAGTTCCAGATCAATCTTTGGTTTTAGTGCGGAGGGCACTCTTCTAGCCTTTAGTCTAATGGGAGCTACATTAGGGTCTAGATTAAAAGAAATAGGGGTCTTCACATACTTGCCCAGGTGGTCGTCGAACACGTCCTGGAACTCCTGCATCAGGTTGTCCTGTAGGCTGCCACTCGTAAGGTTGATGCTGGTGACTCCCATTCCCAGGGCCTTGAACCAGTCTAGGCCCAGGAGGCTCGGAAGGCATCCACAGACCACGGTGAGGGGTAGCTTCTTCTGGTGCTGGGCAAACTCGACTTGGAACGTGCCGACGCCTTCTACGGGAATGCGGTTCCCTTGATAATCCCGTAGCCGCAGTCGCGGGGGTTGTAGTTGACACTTTTTCAGGCCAGGTATCACTGTCTTCAGGCTGGTCCAGGACATGATGGATAGAGATAAGCCGGTGTCGATTTCCATCTTGCACAGACTTCCTTCGATCTCCACCACAATGTTTAGTTTCTTTTCAGGAACTGTGCTCGCTTTGCTTACTCTGGTGCTGCAGGTCTCTGGGCCTTTGAAATTTGCGCCTTTTTTCGGGTGGCCATAGTTGTCTGTTTTCTTGTGTTGCTACGGTTCGGGTTGGCTCATTGCAGTTCTTTGTTTCTGGTTGGCGGGCTGGCTTGCCCAGCACATCCTTGCCAAATGTCCCTTTCTGTTGCAGCATCTACAGATGGTGTCTCTGAAATGGCATGCCTGCTGTTGGTGGGACCCTCCATAGCTCGCACAGACCTCCCAATGATCCTTTGGGTGATGTCTGTGTTTTTCTGTTTTGAAGAAGTCTTCGTCTGACTCTTCTTCGCTGTCTGTCTGGGTCACCTCGCTGTGTACCGGGACTGACTTTTGTATGGCTTGAGATGGCGCCGGTCCTTGC